ACTTCCAAAAAATTGTCTCTCTGATTGCAAATCTGAGGCTGCCGTCGTCAAATTTCAGAAGCAATTTTTTGGATGTTAATGTGTATGTGCGTTTGTGTATCTCAAAGACACAAATACACATACATCATTAACCTCTAAAATATTGTCTTTCTGGTAAGATTATGATGAGCAACAGAGTTCCATCTTGTAAGATTTCCTAACCCTTGTGATCTCAGAATAATCTGATTATGTCGGCGGTTTTCTATATAAACCGTCGTGGTTATTTCAATTCTTGTCGTTAAGTAGATCTACCGACGTAGGATAACAAAATCCAAGAAATAAATTGTTAAAAAAAATTCTTATTCAGACGACGGTTTAAATATAATGTATGACGTATAAAGTGGACAAATACGACGTTAAATTCTATAATACGTCGTTATATGAAAACCCCAACTTGGTAAGATTTAAAGATGTCGTCGTAGAAATACGAGAAAGACGTCGTTATATTTACCTTTGCCGTAGTTGTACATTAATTTAATACGGCGGTATTTTGTATTTTACCGCCGTGGATTTATTTGTAATTATACGGCGCCTTATACGAAAACTTGGTCGTGTTAATTTCCGGGTAAAAACGACGGCTTTTTTTGAAACCGTCGTCTTTACTTTCTACGTCGGTCGGTTCATAACTTCCGCCGTTATTTGTTGGCTACGATTTTACCTCTTGAAAATCCTATTTCAATAAGACGTCGGTTTTTAAATTAAGTACGTCGTGTTTTATGAACAGGCATTTGAAACTCCATTTTTTAGTTGTCTAATGTGTTATTACACGGCGGTTTTATAAAACCGTCGTCTTTTAAAAAACAACGACGGTTTTCACTTAGACCGTCGTGTTTTTCTGGTCGTCTTTTTCACTTTTTGTAGTATAAATTTTGTTTTGTTAAAGGTCAATAGGAAAAATTGTGATTTATAGAATATATATTTCAAGTATGGATATGTTTAAGTTTATATATGTTTGTTGATGTACAGTGGGCAACAGAACATGATTTGGATTGATATTTTAAGAGAGTAAGGCTAGTGTTACGGGGGTCCCCAACCACATGCTTTCGTGTTTTAATTGTCCTAAACAAGTCTGTAAGGAAATGAACTCTTGTTGTAGACGTTTCTTCTGGGGCAATAATACTAAAGCCCCCCCTGTTGCTTGGAAAGACATTTGTTTGCCTCAAAATTTGGGTATCTGTGGACCACTTTAATCAGGCCGCCTTAGCAAAATTAGGCTGGATCTGTTTGACTGATTCTTCAAATTGGTGGGCTCAGATCGTGGCTAAGAAGTACCTTAAGAAGGATGGGTTTCTTGAGCTTGGTAAAAAGACTCTGCATTCATCAGCTTGGAAAGCCATCCTTGATGCGTGTTATGTGCTTCACAAAGGTATAAGATGGATGGTAGGTATGGTCAATCCATCCCTTTCTGGACTGCTAATTGGGTATTTCCTTTTCCTTTATTAGATTTAATTCCTGCTTTTCTCAGAAATAATCTTAATTTGAGTGCTAAAGTGTCAGATTTTATTCAAAATCAGGTTTGGCAACAGGACAAGCTCACTCAAGTGATTGATGATGATATTATAGAAAAAAATTTAACCATTCCTTTGCCCTTATCCCCTTTGCAGGACAAGTTTATCCGGGGGCCTGACCCCAATGGAAAATTTTCTATAAAATCTGCTTACAATTTACAATTGTAGGATAAGCAGAGTCACCCAAAGGCCCCCCTTTTGAAGAAAATGTGGAGTTTAACTCTCCCCCCAAAAGTCAAGATATTTTCATGGCTTCTTATCAGGAAAAGACTACAAGTTCGAAGCCATATTTACAAATATTTGCCTAATATCAATCCAGAATGCCCTCTGTGTAAGAATCATATGAAGACTATTAACCACTTTTTTTTTGAATGTCAGTTTGCAATGAACATTTGGAGATGCACGCATTTTTTCCCCAAAGATGCTCAACAGAATTTTGATGGCATTGACTGGTTGGCTCAGCTACCTCATACCAAAGCTTCAAATGGCCCTAATGCTCTATCCAAAGCTCTCCTTCTTTGCTGGCAGATCTGGGAAGCTAGAAACAATTGTATTTTTAAAGAAATTGTGCCGCACCCAGCTAGAGCCCTGCTTATGGCTAGGCGCATTGGGTTGGATTACTGGAAAATTAATAATTTGGCTGCAACTGGTTTTGTGATTCATGACTGGAATGGTAATGTTCGGTTAGCTGGAGGCTGCCATTCATAATGGTTGGAGGAAGACTGCCATTCATAATGGTTGGAGGAAGATCCTGGTGGAAGGCGATTCAAAGCTTATCATTGATTGTGTCAACAATGTGGTTTCAGTTCCTTGGAGCATCAGTCTCCTTGTGCAAGACATTCGGATGTTGAGTTCTTATTGCGAAGAGATTTCTTTTCAGCACATCTTTCGAGAGGCTAATTTTACTGCAGATGCTGTTGCTAGTTTAGGACATAATCTTGCCCCTTACCAGTTGTGGGATCGTGGGCTTCCTCTAAGTTGTTCGGTTCCTTTTTAGTTTGACTTGGTGGGGCCTGCGTGCCAGCGTGCCAGCGTGGTTTCCGGTTGTAGTTTGTTTGGTTTCCCTTATCGAAAAAAAAAAAACAAAGTAAAGTGTGATATCTATATTGTTTATAACAACCTCAATTTTACACAAACAATTGGAGTTGAAAATTTAAAACAACACTTATAAGACAACTGATGCATATAACTAGAAGTAGTATCAGCAAGCATCAGTGTAGTAGAGAATTCTGATGCTATAAATCACATTTAGAATCATAACTATTAAAATTACCGCTGTCGTTGTAGGTTTAGGCATTGGGGTCAGTGTGTTTTTGGCACACAAAAGGCACTTTAGCATCGGTGTTTAGAACAGAACTAATATCATAAATATATAAAGACAACGAAGAATATCTGATGTCTGGCATTAGTGAGTAATACCATAGTAAATAGAGTGCTTTGGCAACGGATATTAATTTTATTACAATTTTAGTCCATCCTTTAAGTAGGATATATCTTGAGATTTAGAATGAAATGAAAGGAATTAGAATGGTAATTTTAATAATTTTTTCGTGGGAACGTATTTAGCCTTATGAGAGTGATGTCAATACTACTACTACGTCGTTTTGTTGATGTGTTTTGGGCCTGCAGGCTGCATCCCAAGAAATGTAATTAAATCTATCAAACAACTACATCTTGTCTCTTATCTTCAATAAATCTGAGACACTTGACCCCATTAGGCTGTTGTTGGGCGGGTCTAAATACGCTGTCCAGAGACGCCCATTTCCCAAGCCCATGGCCTATAATAAAGCAAGATGATTCATTATTTACAAAGGGCCTAGGAGTCTTTCAATCAATTTCCTCCCGTCTATTCCGATCCAAAGATAAGTGCATGCTCACATCACATCATATGAGCTAACCCACTGTGCCACTATAGTTATTGTCCTATTTCATCATTGATTTTCTCTCAACTATCTTTTTACCAAAGCAAATAAAATTGAAGTCCAAAACCTAAAGCATGCATTGGGAGAACCACGACGTTTTTTATTTATTAATATTATAAGATGATAAAATTTTATTATATCAATAAAAATAAAGAGTACAAAAGACACCTACTGTGAAGCAAGTCATCCCAATAACAATATGACAATTATGGGTAAAACTTCTCCAGTGACTTGGGCTAGCCAAAAAGTAGAAACGATCTAGAGAGAATCACACTCGAGCATAACTTTTCTAAAACCTTTTTCAACCGGCATAATTTCCTTAAATCTGATCTAGTTAAATCAAAGACAAAAATTAGTTGCTAACCAGCATGACTCTCTTAAAGAGACTAAGAACACATAGCAAACTCAACTAAGTTTATGGAATTATGGGAGAAAAAAACTCAAAGTTTCTGGACTTTATCGAACAAACTAAACCAAAATAATAATAATAAAACTAAAATAACGTCGACAAAAGGAAAACCAACTGTCGCTAATCTTCCTTCGAGGCATAACATAGAGAGCGCCACCTAGTTACTCCAAGGCCTCAACGCACCAATGAAAAGTGGATCTACCATGACCAAGTCGCAACACCTCAAAAAGCAGCCTGACTAGATGAGGCACAACCAAAATCAGTCCAAATCTAAAACAATAGATATGCCAAAAGAAGCATAAATCGATATAGATCTACCAACAACCAAAGATTTGAAGGAATCCGGAGGATAACCCCCAGATCTGAAGCGTTCATTTCTCTTCCTATAAACCATGTATTGTTTAGGATCATGTATTAATGGCCATTCTGGTGGATCAACTAATTTTTTTTTTTCACTAATGGACATTCTAATGCCTATGTACTATAGGCATGTTTAATATGATATTTATATTTACGTTTTCACCTGTTGTTTACCAAGTTTATAGCAACAGAATCAACACCCCTTGATTTGATTCTATTAAATCTCAAGTGTTTTGGCTTAATTCTCTTATACATATTTTAATAAATTGTAACAATTGTTTTCAGTTTATTTTCAATTGATTCAATAAATTCAGCTTATACTTTTATCCATCAGATTAATAGAATGGTTGATGTATCTAAATTATTGTTTGTCTTGTTTGCTTTTTTAACTTAATTCTATCATAATAATTAATGCTTATGTCAACAGAGTTAAAACCTCTGCAAAGGAGAAGAAAGAACCTCAACCAGCTGCACAACAAAGCCAGCAAGAGCTAGATCCCCTTCCAAGAAATATCAAAGAAGAAAAATCCTCGTCCACCACCCAGTAACATATAGATAAACACATGTACAAGCTTCATATCTCTTATGCCAAAAACAGAGGTTGTAAATGATTGATTAATAGCAGAAGAGGGGCACATCAACAGGGGATGGTGGCAAATGATGCTTATTGTTTTTTGTTATTTTTTAAGTTCTAGAAAATTCTGATTTAATTTGTGTTAATCAATTGAGTATCGAAGTGTATTTGTGTTTCTATGTAAATGTGGGATTATTTGTTGAAATTTGTTGAGCTGGAAATTTGGATGAGTTTGAATGAATAATAATGCAAATTGGGATTCATATTGAATAATAAATCTGCTATTATGTCACACAAATCAACATTTACTTTACGATGATCTGTTAATTGACCAAACCATGCAAATTGGAATTCATATTTAACATGAAGTGAGATTCATCTTCAATTTTTGGAGTTAACCTTGGTATTAGAGCTTGCGGCAGATGGTGGGTCTTATTCTACCAACGTACCTAGCCTTGTTCATTTTTTTCCTATCAACCTTCTCACTGGGTAACCAAGCTTCATTAGACCAGCATCCTATTAGGAAGGTAGCTATGCGTGCTTATGTTTACCTCTTTCTTTTTTAAAAAATAAGTTTTGAGGGAAATTGACTATTCTCACTGTCAGCGCCGGAGTAGATTGGCACATCTCTTGTTCATTTTTACCTTTTACTTAGGTGTCTACTTGGTATAAACTTATTAAGACCCACTTGGTAAAGTTGGAGAAGAATCAATTTTATTCATTATTTCCAATGCTTTCAAAGGAATAATAGCTGGGTGAAGGTCCAAATGATGGTGGCGGTTTGTCCACGGATTGTCTTGTGCAATTTGCATGCATGCGGTAGGTGATTCCCACATAATCTCATCACCAAGCAAATTAAATCCCATTAATTAAGACACTAAAACAAATTAATTATTACCTCCCCATCTTGCTTTCGGAAACAAGAATCTTGATAATATAAGAGGCAGTTAAGTTGGTTGTTGTGGTAGTTGGTTTTTATATTGCAAAGAAGAATCCAAGCTACTTTGGCCATTTTTGTAAAAGAAAAGGAAAGAAAGGCCCATGTGATATTTGGACAGACACAGTGAATGATGGTGCTAGCTGCACCTGCATATTGCTGTTTTATATATAAGAAAATAAAAAGAATTCATGATTTTTTTTTTAAAGGTAATTGGCTCTCTTGTCTTGGATATGATACCTATTTGCTTGGTTGGTTGAGAAACTTGTGGCTTTTTTCTCATGGAGATTGCGTAAAGGTGCAAACAATTTGTTTTGAATATAGGCATAAAGAGTGTTTTGCAAAATAGGTATATTTGGGAAATTTGGTCCCTCTGTCCAACCAACAATATGCATGCGAACTTGAGCTTTATAATGTTCATGATTTTGTTTGGTTTACATTTCTTTTCACTTGGAAACACTTCCTGAATCTATGGTGAACTATTCAAGTTCTAACTACCACACCCAACCGAATTATAATTTGGCCCCAAAATTGGCTAACTGCCCAATTGAAGAAACTCCTTCAATCATTTTGTACCCCTCCATATTATTTTGATTCAAGGAGAAGTTCTACTTAAATGAACTTCCCCTTAGTATGCATGTAGCTTGGCCCTCCCACTTTAATTATTCCCAGCCAAAACTTTATGAGGGGTTGCTCTAAATTGAAACCTCAATCTTAATTAGGTTAAGCATCTGTCGTTCACATTTTAAAATAAAATACAACGTATAGTAAGCAGTTCTACTACTAATAGCACCAATGTTTTTTATGATAAAACCACACATTTTAATGATAAAATACTACATATAATAAGCAGTAAAGACAATATTAACATTGGTAGGAGTGAGTCACCGTCTAACCCAACTACACAAAAAATATTGTGAATCCATCACTCTTATTAATTCATGTCCTAATATTGCAAATTTATTTAAATTGATGTTCAACTTAACTGTAATGAGATTCCTTGGCACCGTCACATTTGATTTGGAGAATATATGTAGCTTTTTAACCTCTCTTTTTTTGGGTCCAAATGTAGCTTTTTAACCTTATCTATTATGTTCATTTCTAAAGCAGCCCTGCTTCACTGACAGACTTGTCCTCCTCTCGCTCTAGTCAAACTTCCTTACAGTTCCATGTCCCTCCTCCCCCGTCCACTTGTTCCAAAGTGCAAGACTTTGTTCCAGAAACTCAGTCATTCTAGTAAGCTTTTGCAAACCAGCAGCCTAACAATGTGAATCCTCATATTCCAACTCTCAGGCACCTTGTCAGTGTGTATGAGAAAATTCCCTTCCTCTTTTCTAATTTTGACAAAAAATAAATTTTGAATCTTTTAAAAAAAAATAAAAGGAAATTTTAATTGAATTATACATGACCCCAATTATTTAAATTCTTTTTCATGCATGGGCCACATAGGCCTCAAAATTTGACAAACCAGACGATGTATTAAGGATCTATTCAGATTAGAAGCTCACATGGAGGCAAAGATCGCAGATAAGGATAGGAATGGACGTATACGTAAGCAATAACTAAATATTTGGTGGGGGCACATTTACTTGTGCCCTTTGCCAAGTCTCTCTGGTCTCCTACCCACATGGATATGGTTGTATATGTTTATCTTTCTTGAATTCTCTCGCCCACATGTACTGATACCCTGTATTCATATGGGTATATAGCCATCTTTCTTGAATTCTCTATCCCATATGTTAATGTGACATAACATGTGATAGGATCTCTTTGGAGCTCCTTTCCAAACAAGTGAAACTATCCCAATAAGGAATTCAATCACATCCCAATTCCCAAATGGACACAGAGCATCCTTTTAACATATATTAGTAACATGCATTAGGAAGAAAAAGATCATTAGACTGAGTTAATATAGGAAGATGTATATTCAACTA